AACCTAGTTGACCCTGGCTGAATCCCATTTCCAGGCAGGTTTACCACTCTGCCAAAGTTGCCCATTCCCAGCTGAAAACTTGCTTTGGAGTGCAGCGAAGCGTATCCAGCCACAAGCATTTTCCTTTGGGGCGCAGCGCGTCCTGCCACGTAAGCTGTGGTGTGGGCAGGACTCCATCCTGCTGATGCCACACAGCACCTTGGCTTGGCGCTGGTTTGTGACCCAACAACTACTGCAAGTTGTGACTGCAGTGAGAAATGATTGTGGCAACTTGTTGCAGTGGCAACTTGTGACTGCCATCACTTCAGGCTGTGGTAAGTTGCTCCAGCAGCAAGTTAGGGTGCAGCAAGTTGAAGTGCAGCAAGTTTAACTGCAGTGAATTTCACCTGCACCATCAGGAACACTGGGCTGATTTTTGTAAATTGTAGGCCCTAAAAAAGCATGAAATATCCCCAATTGTGATGAACTATGAAGAAACACAAGCCAAGAGTAACCACTCAATAAACTAATATGTGCCACATGTATGTTTTTTATGGCTTGAGATCTGAAATTGAACATAATATCAAAGTGAAGGTTATTTGAATCATTTCAAGAATAAATTGTGCATATATTTATGTATATGCCTAGGGTTTCAAAAAGTTTGTCTTCCAATGCCAAGTTTGTACAACACATATTTTTTACAGCAAATTTTCCAAGTTGAATGAAACAAGACCACTTCATGCATCCCTAACAGTGTTCATACCACCTGCATCCCCTAAATTGTGGGAGTGTGTGATCCCTATTCAAGGCAGCATGAAGTTTGGTGATGGAATTACTGATGGCCCTGCACCACATTAAACCCTTGAAAAAAGCTCTGGAGAACAGTAGCTTAGTTGAAGGAATTGCCTGACATTTTTTTGTGGCAATTTTTCATTCCAAATTGGTTCTTTTATTGGACATGGTCTGGAATTTGGGATCATAAAAATCCATACACTTTGATAGGAAAATGGACAAGAATTTTATTTTATGTTTTTCACGGCCACAGCTTAATTTGCTGAAAAACTATCTCAAGTCAAAATGAGTTTTTTTTAATGAGTATTTTTTAAATCTTTTATGTGCTTTTCATGGATATGACATTTATTTAAAAAAAACCCAAAAACCACAGTCATCATGAGCAAATCACCAGATCATTGATAAAATTGCTAGGGAAAATTCTTTTCAGCAATACAAACTTTTGACAATCAATTTCACATTTTAAAATGAATGAATGAACAGAAAACTTTATTTGCTGCTTTTCAGCATTCAAAAGGCACTACCAAGACTCCCACATCCAAACCCCTCCCCAACCATCCCAACTCCCACACATTTTAAATTTCACATTTTAAAATGGACTTCATTCAGCCAAAAGGTGGTTCTCCAGTCCACCTTTTTCCAGGAAACAGTAGTGTTATTTTGAGTCAAAAACTTACCGATTCTCAAAGTATGCTGGCACAGTAGTTTTCAATTCGGAGGGGTTTTTCTACAGAATACAATATATATTATATATGTACTGTAGTATGTGTGACAGTGTGAGTAGCTCTGATTTACTGATAAACATTTATTTGAATTTGCGCCAGTATAAAAACTTCTTGGAAGATGGATAACAACTTGTCTTGTTCATTTTTGATACAAATGCCAATAAGTCATTCTTCAAGGTCCTTCATTTCTGAATCATCCAAATGTTACGCAGTTCACAGGAACGGAAATTGCAGTGCATAAATTCATTGAGAAGAAAATTTTGCAATTACAGTAATATACATCTGCACATTAATCATGACGCCTGTGGATTCCAGGAGTTTACATCTGTAAATGCTGCGGAAAGCAGTTAACTCATAGGAGGACTATTTGGCATTTCATTTCCATATTTGGCAGCATATATTGCACTTGATTCTGAATATAATCTTCTGGCTGGAATAAAGAATAACTGTTGACTAATGAACTGGGTAGATTTTGTACATTAGCTTGTGAAAGAGTTGAGAATTTTAGTATTCAGTCCATTGAATACAGAAAATGGTAATCTCAATGCCACATACTGTATCTGCATTATCTTATCTGTCAGAGGCGTAGAAATCTTAGTTGAAAGTCAGCTTCAGATTGTCTATTGAGCATGTGAATGGAATTTCCACTCACTTTAATGGTTTTCATATCTTGCTTCACTGGTATTCATCATTTTGTGCCTGTATGTGATAAATTGAAATTGTTTACGCATTGGAATAAGGCACTGGGATTTTTGTCCATCAAACACATCAAGTGACATGTGCAGCAAATGAAGTGAACTTCCTTTAAATTATTACTGGTGATGCTTCCTCCAAAATGAAAGGAGGAATGAAAAAGGTGGTGAATTTTATTCTTGTTTTAGCCATCAGCAGTTGTTTTCTAGCTCTCACTGGCTTTGATTCAGGTAAGCTAATCAATTTTCAAAAGCTGTTCAATTTGCCTATATGAACAGAAGGAAAAGCTTTGATAGTGCTATGAGTATTCCTTCTCTGTGATTCTTTACTCAGTGGATTAGTTCCAAAATAAACATTATTAATAGTTTATCTTGCTTTGAAAAAGCCAGCTCTGGAATCAGGAAATAGATGTGTGTCTGCTGACCATTACAAAAGTCTGATGGCTATTGTAATTCTTCATGTATGTTGAGTGAAAATTTCTAGTAAACTAATTCCTCTGTATGAATTTACAACTGATGATCAACCTTTTTCTGCATAAAACAGAGATGAATCCCTTATTCCATCCTGATGGACAAGGTTATATTAGCCATCAAATATGTTGTTCAGGTGTTCTGTAAACCATTTCAATCTTGAAGGGCATTAAGACCTTACAATGTTCATAAGGGATAACAATAGGTCTAGGGTACTATAGGGGGTACCACTATATAGAGGGAAGGATTCTACCTTCATTATTGAGGCTCAACTCTAGCTTTAAAAAGGAGTGGATTACTACTTATATGCACGGCATGAAAAATCAATTTATTTCTCTAATGAAATGTAATGTCAAAAATTAATTCTCGAAAAATTTGACAGCACATACAATTCAAAGAAATGATTTTCATACACAGGCCAATTTTAGCTTCTTTGGCTTAGCTTGCTCTGCTGTCAAAGCTGCTGCACAGATACAGCACAATGAGCCATATAAACATTGGATGATAGAATTTTCAACTCTTCTTGACCCATTTATGTGCCAAAAAGGTTGATTCAATGAGTCCACATTCAGTCCAAATGGCAATTAAATGAGATAGTTTGAATAATTCACTTCTGCAAATCATGAAATCACCTTGTATGCCATGTATAGCAAATTCAATGAATGGCATGCTGGATCATTTATATGTACCTATATTTAAAACTTGAAAATAGAATTCAAAAGGTTTCTGTAGTGTGCATTAAACTTCTATTGATTACTTGATCATTTTTTTCAACTTTATTTTTCATGTTTGTTTTTTTAATTTCAAATGAATATTTAGATTTCCAAACTTTTAAGCTAATTATAAAGAGGGTGAATTTTAGTCACTGTAGAAAAACTGAGACATTTAATTAAAAAACTGTTTGCATTGCACAAAATTAACATTATTCTGTCAGAAACTAAAATCTAAAGACAACATAATGGAATGATTCAAATGAGAAAATGATGCATTCAATCATTAAAAGCAAGTTCAGTAAAACCTTCAGCTGTGGAAATAATTGGTGCTTCACAAGTAATGTGTCCATAAGTGGAAATGTCCCAAAGTTGAGTCTCATTTTTCCAATGACTTACATTACATAATTTTATCTTGTGTTTCATGGAAGAAATATTCTTCAGAATTCCATGGAGAAACAATTTTCCACTTGAATTCAATTAAGTGAACAACTTTTTAACTCAATCAATAAGAACATTTGGAGCATTGAATAGGGTACCTCTTTACAGTAAATTGAAATGTTGGCATCTGTAAAAATAATGTTCAAGTAACAAAGAGAGAAGGAAATTATATATACGCTATAGGTAATTTTTTTATTATGTGAATGGGTGGGAAAATGATGGGAGAAATACCTAGGAATTTTTCTGGCATAGATCTTGGGGTTGGAAATATCTGTTTCTTGAAAATGCGCCTAATAAAAGTCAACTTTCCTGAAATTTATTGGTACTTTCATCATGCAATGTCTGCATATTGTTGAGTCAATGTCCACATGTTGGGCATCTTTGTATGCCTTTCTTATTTCAAAACAAATCGCCCTATTTTGATTTGTCAGCATGTTGAGGTGTCCACATGTAAGGGTCTCAATTTACTGTACTTCATGTTCTAAAAAGTGTTGACACTTTGCAAGAGACTCAGCATGCCCCATGTGAGAAAGTATTTGTGATGGATTTCTTGATGGGATACGACAAAAAGAATATTGAACAGTAGAACCTTAATAATTAGAACCTCCCAAATTTGAACAATTTCCCATACATATCTCCCCTAGTCAAATAAGAGCCTATGGCTATAATTGTGTTGATCCAGGAAAAGCAATGCAAACATAATTTTATGCATTCTGGGAAGATATTTTTCCTTTCTATGCAAAAATTGCATGCTTTTGTAATGCACAACCTCCTTATTCCTCGGATTTTTCAAAAGTTCCCTGGAAAATTTATTTGAAAGGGTGTGATTCTCTTTGAACTTCTGCTCAACGCACTGTTCATATCTGATGAACTGGTTTTTGCAATATACATGAATTTTGACGAAAGCAACACTGTACAAAAGAGAAAAAAATGAAACATGCAAAAGAATACAACATGTGAACCAACACACATCATTTACAATGTGTAGGAAATTCTGGACAGGGATTCCTGAACAAGTAACAGAAACCTACAAGGTGAATTATACTTACATGAGTCCATATTTTCAGGGAACATTTCTGGAATTTTGCCAGACATCATCAAGAAGCAAGTCAACCAGGCAGAAAAAGAATCAAAAGCAATCCAGGAAGGGAGAGAAGCACTAATTCAATTGTCAAAAGACCATGCTGGAAATGTCTCAAAACAATATTTGGATTTTCAAGTGCCGGGAATGGAAAACAGGATTAAGGAGCTTGAAAGTTCCACTCCGAAGCAGCAGCCAAAAGATTTTAGCAAAGAGGCTCTAATAACTGGACAAGAACTTTCCAGAATTTCAAACAGTTCCACTCAGGAACAGCAATCAACTAGTGCAGAGGTTTCAATGAGTTCATCTCCAGAACAACAGTCCACTAGTGGTTCAGTTGACACAACAACACAGGAGATTTCAGTCAGTTCCACTCAGGAACAGCAATCAACTAGTGCAGAGGTTTCAACCAGTTCATCTCCAGAACAACAGTCCACTAGTGGTTCAGTTGACACAACAACACAGGAGATTTCAGTCAGTTCCACTCAGGAACAGATATCAACTAGTGCAGAGGTTTCAATGAGTGCATCTCCGGAACAACAGTCCACTAGTGGTTCAGTTGACACAACAACACAGGAGATTTCAGTCAGTTCCACTCAGGAACAGCAATCAACTAGTGCAGAGGTTTCAACCAGTTCATCTCCAGAACAACAGTCCACTAGTGGTTCAGTTGACACAACAACACAGGAGATTTCAGTCAGTTCCACTCAGGAACAGCAATCAACTAGTGCAGAGGTTTCAACCAGTTCATCTCCAGAACAACAGTCCACTAGTGGTTCAGTTGACACAACAACACAGGAGATTTCAGTCAGTTCCACTCAGGAACAGCAATCAACTAGTGCAGAGGTTTCAACCAGTTCATCTCCAGAACAACAGTCCACTAGTGGTTCAGTTGACACAACAACACAGGAGATTTCAGTCAGTTCCACTCAGGAACAGCAATCAACTAGTGCAGAGGTTTCAACCAGTTCATCTCCAGAACAACAGTCCACTAGTGGTTCAGTTGACACAACAACACAGGAGATTTCAGTCAGTTCCACTCAGGAACAGATATCAACTAGTGCAGAGGTTTCAATGAGTGCATCTCCGGAACAACAGTCCACTAGTGGTTCAGTTGACACAACAACACAGGAGATTTCAGTCAGTTCCACTCAGGAACAGCAATCAACTAGTGCAGAGGTTTCAACCAGTTCATCTCCAGAACAACAGTCCACTAGTGGTTCAGTTGACACAACAACACAGGAGATTTCAGTCAGTTCCACTCAGGAACAGCAATCAACTAGTGCAGAGGTTTCAACCAGTTCATCTCCAGAACAACAGTCCACTAGTGGTTCAGTTGACACAACAACACAGGAGATTTCAGTCAGTTCATCTCAGGAACAGCAATCAACTAGTGCATCAGTTGAAACAACTAATATACAAGAAGTTTCAAGCAGTTCTACTCCAGAGCAGCAGGCAAGTAGTGTCACAATTGTTACAACTTCTGTAGGTTTTTCATCCAGTTTTGATCCAAAACAGCAGTCATCAACTAGTAGTGAAGAAATAGGTATGACAACAGAATCAGCATCATTTCCAACATCAACAACAACTATGCCCTTGTCTCAGAGGTGTCCCCAAGTTGAACTCCCTCAGCTTGGAAATGGATATTTTTTTCCTGAAACAGATCCAGGAAGGCTATTGGTTAAGGAGTGTCCCACTGGGATGAAAGGTGCTGCTGAGTGGCTTTGTAGAAAATCTGGTACCTGGGATGGTGACCTTCCAAATCTCAGGTGCTCTTTATCTACACATGTTTTTTTGTTGTTGTTGCATTTTTATAATATTTCATGGTTTGCAGTGGTTGCAGAAACCTTGCATTGGAAAATGTCCTGATTCAACTGAATGAAAGCAACAATGTCGCAAACGAGATGAAGGAATTGGCATCCATGATTCAAAATTCCCCAGGTGGCTTAGCCCCTGGTGACCTGTATGATTTGTCTGCATTTTTTGAACTGTCTGGGATGAGGCAGGAAGAGCTTCTCCAATCAGCTGTATCAGATGCAGAAAAATTTCAGATGACTCGAGATTACTTGAGTTCTCTTAGTTCTCTGGTTGGAGTTACTCTGGATCAACCAGAGAAATGGCAAAGTGCGAACTACTCCCTGAGATCTACAGCTGGCAATGAAATCCTTCTTCAGATGGAAAGTGCTGGTGCTTCCCTGTTGAAATATCAAGATCAAGGAGAAGTCCAACTCTCAGAAGACTCACACAGTAGGCGTTACAGCATCACTTTCTTGAAAGATTATGATCACCAGGGCATCAAACAACTTTTTTTTGTTGCAGATTTGATATTGAGAAAATTTGCCAGGGATGATTTTGGCTTTTCCAAGCTTGATCAGAAGGGAACTTCATTTTCATATAAAAATGCCTCCATTCAAATAATGACAGACTGGATTTTTGACAATGTGGAAGATGCTGAAGAGTCCATTGCAATGTCTTTTATTGGGTTTAAGGACATGCACAACATTCTAAAGCCAAATGAGTGAGTTGAATGTAATGGATTGTGACCCTATAAAGATTCAATATGTGGAATGCTCCTGGCAGGCAATATGTTGATGGTAGATTTCATACTGTCAACACACTTGTGATGGGTGCTAAGCTGGCCTCTGCACTGAAAAACTTTACCCAGTCCACTCCTAAAGAAGCGGTCAAGATGTCATTCAAAGTAATTCAGCCATACAACACCAGTGATGAAGGCAATTACATCAGGTGTGTCTTCTGGGACACTAACACAGCAGCCTGGTCAAGCAAGGGCTGCAGAACAATTGAGGTGGATGAAGAAAATGTGCAATGCTCCTGCAATCATATGACAAACTTTGGCGTGAAGATGGATGTGGCTGTAATTGAATCTGAGGCAAGTTTGATCTGTTATCTAACTGTGGAAATATAAATTACCATAAAATGTCTGGCACCATGAGTGCAATATAAAGACAATGGTATTTGAAATTAGCCTATGCAAAATAATTCAGATTTTTTCAATCTATCAACACTTCAGACACATTTTCACTTGCTGGAATAAATTATTTCAATTTTGCATTCTGAAAAACTTTTCTTCAAGCCCAGCACCTTTCTAATTTTTAAATTTCATTCAGGTATATACAGTATCTGTTTCATTTATGTTTAGCCTAGTTTTTGCAAGGAGTAGAAACTTTTAAATACCTCCCATAAAGACTTTCAAGAAAACCTTTTAGTCTGCAAACATTTTATGAAACTTTCCTAAATAGAGCACAGAAAATGTTTTGGGAATTTGCTTGTCTGCAGGAAATTAACCAGTCAGAAGCCCAAAAAGGTTGGGGAACACTGCTATAGAATGTCAATACACAGATACTGTCTACAACATTTTTCATTCAACAATTCTAACCACACAGGCACACACGATTTTTTGGTAATACTGTATACGGTTTCTCCAGGCATTCAGTTGCACTTCCTTGCCATGAAATTCTTTCCACAAAAGATTCTTTTCTTCCCTGAATTTTGTTTCATTAATTGTAAACCTCTATTACGTTTATAATGTAGAGATCAACAGCTTTCTTCATGAATAAGTATGATGAAAATTTGTCATTCCAACAACTCCTTTTTGGGAAAATTCAACTTGGAAGTTTGACTGTCTGCTTGAATAGTACATAACACCAGTGTTACCCAATCTTCTTCATCCCACTGACTGAAAAATTTCTGTGAAATTTTGTGAGGATGGCCAAATTAATTTGCATAACAATTTTTGCTGACCAACAAAAAATGTCAGCAGACTGGCAGAATTTCATAAAAGTTTTTCAGATGTGAAAAGCTCTGTTTGATGTACACACTATATACTGGCTGAAATTGAAAAGTTTCTGCTTATACTTACAAAATTTAAGTTAGGGATTAATGAAGGAACTGTAGTGTTACTTTTGAAAATAAATATGAAGGTGAGCTTGAAGTAAGGTTTTGTAAAATTGAAATGCTGTAGTTTATTTCAGCAAGTGAAAATTTGTCTAAAGTGTGTACAGGATGTACTTTCAGAGTCAAAAATAAGAATTGATTGAAATTTTCCTGTATAGGTGCTCTACCCTTTGCACTACTTGAACCTCTGAAATGAAGAGATCTCTTGAAATCCTCAGGATATTTCACACCAGCATTTGCGGACCTGGTGGCTGATAGCTGGGAATGCCCTGTCCATGTACACATTGTTCATGAGTGGAGCTGCATATGCTTTTGTCAAAACCCTGGGAGGAAACGTTTGGATCAGGGTTGTCAATGTGAACCTTTGCTTGACTCTGCTCACTGCACAAGGATTCATGCTTGGAATTGATGAGGTAGATGATGGGAGAAAATGTTCTGCATTGGCTGTCTTGCTGCATTATTTTCAACTGACCTCTGGTGCCTGGTTGCTCATCAAGAGCTTCAACCTTTTGAGCTTCAAGAAGGTGAGTCATTTTCAATTAAAGTGAAATGAAATTTTGACATAATCAATAAGCATGCCAAATTAGAATAATAGATAGCTTGTTTTTCCTCCTGAACTTTCCAAGTTATACTGTAAAAAGGGGTTCCTTTTCAATTCTTGATAATGCTCTGATCTGATTCCATTCAGCTTTTTGCAGATTGATTCCTAAAATGCCAGAAGAACTATGATCTATAACAAGAAGTTGTGAAATACTGCACATGCTTCATTCAGTCTCTCATGAAATGCCATCACATTTGGCTGAATGTGTACTGCATATAACTGTTGTCACAGGGAAGCATTTTTTATGTATATATTCAGGTACCAAACCTGAGAGAAATCAATTTTGAATACCATACACTTTTTTCTTGTTATTTGATGCTGTTTTCAAAATATGTAATGTCTCCTTCTCTTTCTCTCTCCCTCTCTTTCTCTGAAATCCACAGTCATTCAGAGGTAGTAAATTATCTCCAGGAAAGAAGACATTAATTGCGTTGGGAGCATATGCTGTTCCAGCAGTTTATGCAGGGATTGTTGCTGCTGCCAGTGTGGGCAAAGCATACAGTTCCAAAAACTTGTGAGTCACAATCATGACACATGATATGTACCTGTAAAAAATGTGAAATGCATCTTATCAACTCTTGCAGGTGTTGGCTGGAAGGTGAATATGCCTTGACATTTGTCATCCCCATTGAGCTGATAGCAGTGGTGAGACACTTTTTCATCATTACCTTTAATTCCAAGAAGAAATGTATTAGGCAACAAACAATCCATTGCAAATTTTGAATTTTTATCTGAAAATGACTTGAACTGGAGCCAAATGGAATAAATTACCGGCTTTGTTATACTGTATACGGTGAGACCCCCACACGCAGACACCTTGACCTGTGGACAATTTGACATAGGGACACTTATTTCCCCATAACAAATTAATGAAAAAGGCCCAACTTGAGGACACTGACTCAACATGAGGACATTTTGTGATAACATTTCAAAGACATGTCAGGCCAAATTACAAGAAACAGATACAGTATTTCAAACCCTAAAATTGATGTAAAATAAGTTTTTGGGCATTTCTCTCACCAATTTACCATCCATTTAGCTAATTAAAAAAATACTTCCTGCATACAGGGATTTATAATTTCTTTCACATGAATTTTGTTTTTTAGATGCCAAAATTTCAATTCAAAGTATAGAGCTACACTATTCAATGCTCCAGATTTTCTTATTGAGTTTAAAATGTACTCACTAATTCAAATTGAAGTGGCAAACAATGTTTTCAGGGAATTCTGAAGAAAATTTCTTCCATAAAAATGATAAAACACAAATGAAAAATTATATAATGTAAGTCTAAGGGAAAACAAGACTCGACTTGGGAACAATTCAACTTAGGGACACTCTTGATGCACCAATCATGTCCGCATCTTGGGGTCTCACTGTATTTTGTGCATAGCAAAATATTACGAAATAGCAACAAATTTTCCAAGCTGAAAATTGAGCTTCAAGGTGAAATTGCTGTTATATAGTTTCTGGAATTTTGTTATGAAAATTCTAGATTTCGATTTACAGATGATTGAAAAAATAATAAAATTCGCTCTCTTTACAGATTGCTTTCCTGACATCCACAAGCACGTTGATTTTCGCTCTAATGGACATGAAACAAACCATGAGATCAATCAAAAGGATCGAAGTCGGTATACCTTTAAATTACACCAGTAGTGTGGATTCAGTGGCACGCATGACAACACTGGCAATTCATGCAGGATCATCAGCTATTTTCGCTCTTATCCTCGCTATTTCTTGGGCTCTGACAACCACCTACACTTTGTACTGTGAGTGTGATGCAGAAAATTATTAATTTTCTTCACTTTAAATTTATGGTGGACATTTAAAAACGAATATACATGTTTTTTTTTTATTCTAGCCACGCGTGAGACTGAGATTTCCTCAGCGATTGCGAATGGACTTCAAGGAATTTTCATGCTGATTATAGTTGTTTTCAGACTTGAAGCTTTCCAGCCTTCGGGAGAAATGCCACAGATTGCACAAGCAGTGAATCCAGTTCACGTGAGTATATAATTCAATTGTGTCTTATTACTGATATTATGCTCAAGTTTAATTTTTTTTTTCAAGGCTCCGCCGTTGAGTGTGACCGAATTCTCGGTTCGTTTGCCAAGACTGGTACCCGTTTTGCGAGAATCTTTTCGGCGATTTTAAAAAACTGGGACTTCATTCTTGACAGCAAGCTTCTACCTCATCAATTGTTGATAGGAAATCTTAGATTGAAAAAAAAGTATGTGCAAAAAAACGCATTTCAGCTGGATCGAATTGAGAATTACCACGTTTCCTGTTGAGATACTTCAAGCATTGTTATTCAAGTTAATTCTTTTTTTAAATTCGCTTGAAATTTGTTGGTGTTGTCGCATTACATTGTGAAAAGGTTTGTGTATATATGGAAGGAAATCGATTGCCAAGAAATATAAATTATTTTTTTCAGGAATATTTTTTTTTTCATTTGTCCGAATGAATAATTTTTGGTGGGGAATAATGTCTGTAATTGGTTACTGTAAAAAGTACATACAGTCAACCCGCAATTTCTCTACCCATCCATATAGTGCCACATTTTTTTGTGGAACAAATCTCCCACAATTATGCTCTTGAGGGAAATCCTGTTTTATTGCCAACTTACTTAGTGCCACACAGAATTCCTTGTCCAGGCATAAAAATTAGTAAAAATTGTGAAATTGTGCTTCCTTTCTACTCAATAGGATGGTATGGATATTTTATTGAGAAGCACAGCACAAGTGAACACAAAAGTTCAAACCAAGTTCAAAACAGTCAATCTTAGTCCTCTACAATTTTGGAAAGAGTCTTTTAATTGAATTTCACAAACAAGTGGCCAAAATATTTTTGAAGCTCATTTCTGTAGCTGTGGAATGCTGGACATACAAAAACAAGGTGCTCTGGTGATGCATCAACCAATGTATTCATGTTGTAGAAATTACACCACTTGAACACCTGTGAAAATTTGATTTCTTATTAAAATGCCATGAATTTGTCAAAAAAAGCAATGATATTATGTAACAAGGTGATATGTTAGATGATACAAATAGTAAAGGTTTAGTTTTTCCACATGCAAGATCAGCTAGTAATTTACTTAAATGAATAACATCACAATTATCATTAAAAATTGAATAATTAGGATCTTTTCTTTGCTTTTATTGCTGCTGCACTCAAGAAAATTTGATTTTTCTGATATTAAATCTCTCTGCTGCAACAGTTCTATGAACTCTCTGCTGGAAACACTGGGGATTTTACCATTTGCATGATAGCACCTACTCATGTCCTGCCAATTAGGTGTGGTACAAACACAAATAATGAGGCACCTCCATGGGATGCAAGACAAACCTGCTGCATACATGAAAATATAAAACTTAATCTGACAATTGTATGGAAAAAAGAATCATACTGACAAGCATTTGAGTTCCCAAGGTTGCAAAGGGGTTCCTGTGAAAATAAGGAATGATTGTGAAATGAAGAAATTGACAAAAAAATTATTTATTCAAAAATGGAAAATGCATGTCTGAAATGTTGGAAGAATGTTCAAGTGTTGTTCACTACATGAAAAAGAATTCCACCCACTACTAGTTCGCCGTTCTGCAAAATTATTCTGTGGAATGTTCTTTTTTTCTCATATATGGAGGGAGTTTGAATGTGTATGCTAATCTGTTAGCAGGGCAGTCAGGGAGCACTTCTGTTCTGATCAGGTGGTAGTATAGGTACCATATGGTATTCACATTTTAATTATTTTTTATCTTCAAAATCCATGCACTCATATCTTCTCTGAATACCATTCCACTGATATAAAATATCAATTCAACAAATACAACATTTTCAGCAGTTATCCTCAGGGATACTCAGCATTTGGCCAACATCATCAGTACTAATCTTTTCACTTTTCCATTTCAGAAGACCAGCAGGCTTGTGTTATCCTACAAAATACTCAACACTTTGTTTCAAGTTTCTTTTTACAGTTATCTCCCTCTTGAGAATAGAAGATCATGGGAACAAGACCTTCCCATGTTTATATTTTCTAAAATGTTTTGGTTTGACAACTTTTGTGCTATCCAACATTAATACGTGTGACCCATTTCCCCTGCAACTGCACATTACTGTTCCTCTTTCTGTTGACAGTTGCAAACGGTAATGACTGTTCCCCAAAGTTGGTTTCTCCTTCTTTAATTATATTCTGCACTAGTTCCTGAGACTCACATCCTGGCCCTGAGACCTGGATATGCATCCCTAACTCTGGAATCATGTTGTCATGATCCCAATGTCCAAAAGCCTATACAGTCAACCCCCATCTAATGGACTTGATTTGTGCAAGGGACGAGTAGAAAATTTCAATTCTTAACACTAACTTTAAACCAAAAGAAGTCTGTTTGGTGGATTTTATCTGTTGGGCGGGAGGAAAAACTGCTTGCAGAGCTGGTCTGTTTGGTGAAAATCCCTTACACGGGAGGTCTGTTAGGTGGGGGGCCACTGTATATATTTCTGCTTCCACAATAATTCCTCAGAAGAATCTTACTAGAGAATTGGACCTGAGACTCTCGCAATTGTTCTCAAGGAGACTTGCAATAATTTAGCAGGACTTCTTCAACTTATATTCTCTTGACTATGTTGTGTGTTTGAATACATGTGTGATTTGAAATACCAAAGAATATATCAAATACATTTATGTTTATATATCAAGTGTTTCATTTATTTTATTGGCGCAACCAAAAGATATTTCTTCACAACACATTAAGATAACACTTGTTATATCAAAACTCATCATACCATTATGCCTGTGCTTTTAATGAGGGGAATAAAGCATGGGCACTCAAGAATTATGTAGTCATCACAATATTTTTGAGTCTTCATTCAATAAAATCCTTCCTTATTCTAAATCAGAATGTTTTGGAACTATTTTTTTCCCTCATGATGAACTTATGTTGTAGATGAAAATTGATTGGTTCAGAGAGAATCTGGAAGTACTGTATACATGGCCATTCTACATGTGCAGTAGCGAAATTTTGATATCAAACTTTTTTCATATTGAACTCCCTATTGGAATGTATTGACTCAGTCAAGTGATGTTTCAATAATAAAATGCTATAACAAAAGAAATTCAATGATAAAAACCAAGTAATTCACTTTTGATTTGGAAGATGTTTCTTATTATACTGCTGTGGGAGGGACAGACAGAGGTTTCTTTAAAGCAACCTTGGAATATGATTTTTTTGTGGAAATGCATACAAATTTCTGATTTATTTCACACTTGTCAAGGAGATAAACCACCCGAGGAAGACTGCAAATTAGCTGTAGAATCTGTGGCCCGCGATCGAGACTTGGATGACACACCAAACTTAGCCTTAGTTTCCTCAGAGAAACCAAGTCGCATGTCCTGGAAATTATAGAGATGGTAAGTCTAAAATGCAAAGACCTGAATGCAATATACAGCGATACATACCTGAACTTGCATGACATTCATCAAAGCTCGTCTTGGAGTCTCCAATCCAAAGATATTTGTAGCGAAAATAAAAAAGCCTTGGAAGGAGCCAAATATGGCGAAAAGAATGGCAGTGGTCGCACTTGCTGCAATTTAGATCAAATTATTCACGATTAAAAATATCATCCATCAAATGGAAATGCATGCTTTAAGGAATTTTTTTCTGAATATACCAGCACTTGAAAATTTAAACAAGAATTGTGAAGCACTTCTACACACATTTCTCTTCTACTACCTATAAGTATATTTTTCTCAATTTCAGAAACTGTGCTGCCTGACTTCATTAGGGATTTTGTTCATCAGCAAAGTCACATGCCCATTGAAGAAGTTTGTTGCACTGGAATTGGAAAGTTTGCTTAAACAAGATTGCTTCAACATGCAATCCATGGAATTTCTGCAGGGACCTCAGAAAAAGTGTGTTATACTGGAAAATTTCTTGTAATGGTATTTGTTGTAATGGTATTCATTGTAAAGAGATTTTACTGTATTAAATTTAATAAATTCAACTATTGAACATATTGAGCTTCATATTCAATGAATCTATCTATTAAAACTACAGTATTTGTTGCAAATTTTTTAGTTCTATTTTTAGCAAGTTAAATTTAAAACCTGAATTTTTGTCCTTGGGGACAAATTCCACTTTCTGTGAGAACCTTGGAAAACCTCGATTCTCACGTAACTTACGGAAGCCTCCAAGGCTACATTTCTCTACTAATCCTGTTGCTAAATTGCATCCTTGAAGGACTGCTTTCCTGTTCCAAAAACTCATGATGTTCTACTCAGTCCAGCTTCTGCATTTGTGTGTGCGGTTACTCCAAGATTTTGCGAGCAATTTCATCAAGTGTCAACCAAATCTTTGAATATAACAACCTTATAATTGGGTGATCTCACCCCAGTTGCAGCCCAACCAAATTCTTGTGTTTTACTCTTAAAATTTCAATCTATCTCATTATCTCTAGATTCTTTAAACTAAGCTTCATTATTTGTTGGGTTTATTCCTGGCAGTATTTATTCAGTCTAATCCTATTTTTTAACTGCTGTATTCATATTTAGGTTCAGATGACAGACCTTTCTTATGCAGTGGGTTTTGTGGTACTGAATTGGATATATTGAGGACAATCCATACCTGGAAAATGTTTGCTATTCTGAAAGTCCTTTTCTTTGATCCATTTTTTCTTCAAGGATCAAATAATGTTTCATAATTGTAAAATTTTGTGGAACAATATTTGTTAGTTTGGGCAATTTAAACAAGGCACAAACACAGTTTTTGTGAGCTGGAAAGGTTCTGTTTGGATAGTTTACTATAAGCGGGACTTGCACATACCCCCACTGTAACGTAAATTTGGAAATTTTGAACAGTCCATTAACCGAGTCATCGCGTGAATATTTCACTCACGTGACAAGACGAAAATGACGCCAAATATCCAGGAAATCCCCAGGAAAGATGCCAATGCGAAAGTTGCGGCTGCAAATTTTATTCTCCTTTTTGGGCTGATGGCTGGAGGCGGGTCTACTTTCTTATTAGTCCTTTGGCTTGTTCCACTGGAAAATTGGGACACTTGGGCAGTGCTGGAAAGGTAGTAACTTTGGTGTCCATCATTCTTCTCCTTGATCATCTTCTTCCATGCTATTCTGACCGTGTGAATTAACACAACGTAATTTACCTAATAGAAGGTTTTTGAAGCAAAGAAACATCAAATTTATGTCATTTTCTTGTTGAGAATGAAGAGATGACTGAGTGACTCACACAAACAATGCAGGTGATGGGAACAATGAATCCCATCATTGAGAATTCATTCAGCCAGCAACTGCGAATTCAAATCCATAATACAGCAGAACTTGGATTATACTTTAATTTCTTTTTTTTTTCTAAAACAACAGAAAGTTAGTCATTTGCTTCATTTATAAAGGGGGAGTCTTTTCTTCATCAGGGAACGAGCTATTGTTCCAAGATTATTTTTCAGGGTTAAATTAATCATCAACCAATTTAAGATGGTATAGTTCCAGCTGTGGGACACAGAGGGCACATCAGCCAAATACAAATAATACTTGCATTAAAATCAAATTAGAAAACTTGAAATAAAAATCTTGAAAGAATGAATGGAATGCGGCAGCAGGAAATTCTGTTGGAAGTTCTTGCTGCAAAGAATTGTGCAACTAAAAATCACATCCTTTCCACAAAGAAATAACGTTGATTACGTTTGAAACTCTTGAAGCATTTGGTCTTGCTAGAGAATTTTGTTGTGTGTCAATTTTGCTGATTGTTCAAAATTCCCAATTTTCATATCTTATCTGTCCCTCAATATTTGCTCATATTTGTGAATTCTTCCTTAAAAACAAAATATAGATTTCTCTTCTCTTTGAAGATTCTACTGAGAATCTTCCTGCCGTGTTCCCTTGTGGATTGCGCATTTTTACTGATTTATTTTATTCTTCTATTTATTCAAATTCTTTGTGGGCTTGTTGCCCTACACCAGCAGTGGTACTGTTAAAATGTGATGAAAAAATTTGATAATTAAACAAAAAATGCAAATTCCTGATTGAAAAATGCTAGCAAAATGTAAATCCATCAAACAGTAAAAATGTTGCACTAAATCTTTACAATTGGTGAAGATCTTTCACTTTCCCTGAGTCACTGGTGTTTCTGTCAGAATATTCCATTTTTTTAAGCATGACAAAAATATTTGTAGCAGAACTTTTGTCAACATTAAAAAAAAACTAACAGACTTCAGCCAAATTACCAAGGCATCATATATAGGCCCTTTTCTTTCTTCCCCAGGGATGTATTATACAATTCACAAAATTAGAAAATTTCACAAACAACTGATTCTGGACAATTCAAATTCTTTGAAATACACAACTTTGGCATGCAGTACATTCATTATTTTGCCCATATAGTAAGAATACCAAAGATTAGTAGACTAAACACAAAAGAGCACAAGGAACCGTGGAAGAAAGGGAAACTATCCATTAAACATAATCAACCTCAAGGTGTATGCATACATGTCAGATGTCCAGTTGTATTTTGTGGATTGTATTTTCTTTTATTTTTGTCATCCATTTGTGCTCTGTTTCCTGCTCTAAAGTGAGTAAATGTCTTTGAGTTGATTTGGGTTGGGTGGGAAGGGTTTGGATGATGGAAATCTTGATTGAACCTTTTGTGAATGCTGAAAAGCGGCAAATAAAAAGTTGTTCTGTTCATTCATTCAACCAACCTCTAACTATTATAATTTCCTATAATCAAAAGCATTTGGGAATTCTGAGAATTTTTTTGTGGATGCATGCTATTTCATAAATTTTGTGTGTACCTGCTGTCATTTGCTTCCTCTTTTGAGCCTTTTTTGTGGACTGCCTAACCAGGTGCTTCTTGTTGACATGGATACTCAAGCATGGTACTTCCTGTGATTTTGATTTATCACAAAAGAATGGATTGGTAAATGAGAATGTGTGCAATGAGAGCCTTTTGAGGCCAAAAAAGGCATATTCAAGGTGACACCTTGATCATGTGTTCCTATAGTTTTGCGCAATCAAAAAGAACCCTCCACCTTCCAACCATTAAAATTGCATTTTCATAGGTGCAGCATCATTGACTCACTATTGCTCATTCCCATACGCATTGCCAAGTGTGGCAGCATAAGTGATGCCAATAATTATTGCAGGAAATGCATAGCAGGATAACGCCATTGACAGCTTCTGACGCTTAGTTGGCCTGTAAATCTGAACTCAAGAAATGAGAGATTTGAAAGAAGCTTTTAGAATTCTTTCAAGACATCTTATAACAAAAAATGAGGTTCCTCACTCTGGTTGTCATCATATAAAGATTGATGCCTTTCATAAGCATCCATGCCCCAGACACCAAAAAGGTGTAGTGCATGAAAACAGCTATAATCTTGCATGTTCTTTGGTTGCTTGTCGCATCCAAGCCAAATACCAGAAGCAGTTGGGCAGTCATCAGACTAATGCACAGGTTTACATTCATGACCCTTGTCCAGTGGTTCTCTGTGATATTCTTCACAAAGGTGTATGCCAAAGTTGTGAGCAACAAACATCCAATTGAAATTCCACAGCCAATATTTGTGATCCAAGTTAGCAACCTTTCCAGTGCCTGTTCATGAAGAAAATAGCCATGTACAAAATTTTTCATTGATGCTTTCATGTACAGTTATTGTCCAATCTCCCAACTTAGCAGAAGAATCATGAAGCCAATTTTGTCAGCCAAAATTGTTGGAAACCATACATGTAATACCATACAAAATTTTTTAAAATCTGAACTGCATTTTATGAGAAGAATGCTTGATTTAAAAAAAAGAGTTTGAAGTTTTGAAATTGCATGTATAATGCTCAGGCAAGTCAAGCATTATATGTCAGAGGAAAAAATTACTGTAATGGTTTACTTTAGTGATGAACATTTTTTAGTGAAATGTGTGCATTTAATTAAACTCTTCCCATTGATCAATACAGTTCTGAAGAAATGAATTTTATACTCTACACTGTATATGAGTAACTTCAAGCAACCTCAGCAGTATATTTCACTGGATCACTGATTAATGCTGCTTACCTCAGGTATCATGTCAGCAACATCCATGAGAACAGCAAAATTGGTCAAGTGTGTGCAAGAACACATAACTGTTCCTTCATCAACAAGAAATGTTGTGTTGCATCCTTCAGCTGACCAATCAGTCAAGTTGTTGTCCCAATAAGAACAAGAAATCACATTGTTTTCTGCAGACACATTGAAATACTTCAAAATGGGGAACACCATATTGACAGCAAGTTCAGATGACTGTGAAGTGTTCCCAGACATCAAATCAGAAGTCAGCTTGGCTCCCACCACCTGAGTGTTCACTCCTTGAACTCTGTAGGGACTTGACTCTGATGCCCTGCAGCAACAACAAAAATAAAATACTGTATTTACTCAAGTACCACGCGCCCTCAAGTAAGGCATGCGCAGGGGTTCTTTAGTTGAAAATTTTGCAAAAAACTTATCCCCAAGTAAGACGCGCACCCCAATTTTTAGTGAATCTAAAACCATAAAATTTCAAAAATAAAACAAAAAATTTGAAGTTATAGTCGTGAATTGAACAAACATCTGATAAATTTTCAACTTTTTCAATACAAAAATGTTTTCTTGTTATATATGTTCCAAATTTCTCCATTATAAGTAAGTATAATGCAAACATCACTTTTTAAAACTTCTTGAAAATTTTGTACCCGCTTATGACGCGCACCCCTTTTTTTTCTTCTGAAATTTGGGAAAAAAGGTGCACGTGGTACTCAAGTAAATACGGTAAGAAATATATATAATATAAACAAATGTATAAAACAAGTTGCTCAATTCTAAAAACAAACCTTTTGCTTTTCAGGATCCTGTGCATATCTCTGAATCCAAAGAATGACACTTTGGTGAAGTTTTCTGTGTCAGCCAAACTACTGAGAACCCATTGGGGATCCAAGCTGATCACAGTCCCATTGTACATAAAAGTCAAGGCATTTGAGACGTCAAGTCTCCTTCCTATATCTTCTCTCAGGAACTTCCTCACAACAAGGTCTATGTAATGAAGGAACAGCATAAATCAGATTCAAACATTTTCATATCTCTTGGTTTGGTACAATTGGGTCTCACTATATATGTCATACTCACAAAATTCCACATGGATCTTTTCAGTTGTGGGAAATGGCATAAAAGTTACAATTGAATTAACACTAATGCTGCCTGTATGTTCATCTGTGTAATATTACTAATACAGTATACCTCCTTTATTTTGAAGATTCACTGACACTTGCTTAATTCGAAAGCATTATTGACATACATCCCAGCACTCAAGATTTTTTCCTTGCTTTGTTTTAATATTGAACAATCTGGAACTGAGATTCAATCACTGCATGGAAGTCCTTGGACAATATACCTGAAAGCCATTTGAGCTAAAACAATGCTGATAAGGGTGGAATTTAATGCTTATGAGTTGGTGACAAGACACTTATTCAACTTTTGTGGATCAAGGCTTCAGATTAATCACCTGGATGATGCATATCATTGACAAAAAATCCAAAATGCATTTTTTCCACAGAAATAACTTATTTTAAATGCCCACCATTTTTATTGAAACAATAACTTGATAGAAGTCTTGATTTAGATTATAAAAAGCTGGCCCAGCAAAATATTTTCAATATATATTTTCAAGCCATAATCTATATTACTTGCATCCAAAAAACATTTTCTCATACATGGCTGAGTGGTGGTAAAATCCTCTGCTGTCAAGAAAATAAAAAATAAGGGTATTCTCAGAATTTCATTGGATGCTGAAAAAAATGAAGTGTATTTGGTATAAGAGGATGTTTACCAGGCAACAGGTTTACACAAGAAGACCCAAATGTATCCTGGATGACTGACCATGACTCTCTTCTTTGATGCTAATCTCTTTTCCAGGTTCCAAGTAATCAACCAAAGTGGCAGAGGCCTTTTCCAACTGAATTTGAACTTCACTGGCTGCATACAGCTTCACCTGCTCTTCAGCTCCTTCCCAAGTGGATGGGTTCTTCAAGGCTGTTCCACTAAGTTTACTGACTGACTGAATGTACTGAGTAGCAATTGTCAGCTTCTGATCATCTGGGGCTGCTGCAAGAACTTGCTCTTGCCTTTCTCCAGCCAAGGCAAGTAGATCACTTAGTCCAGACAAGTCTCCTCCTGCCAGTCCACCATTTGAGCTGGAAATTGTGGTTGTCAAATTCACCAACACCTCTGACACATTGTTGGCATTTTCAACTTGGTCAATGGCTGAACCAAAGTCCACATTTGTGCAGTCACTGAAAGGAACAAGAGTGATCACTGACTGGCAATCCCATTTTCCTGATCAACCTTGAATACCAAGAAGGCTACAGTAAAAAAGCTTCAAATTTTTTTCTCTGTAAAAGTAATTAAATCAGATATCATGAGAGGGTTAATGTTTTGGGAATAAAACACAGAGAACAGCTGAGCTGCAGCTGGGATGCACCCTATTTTAAAGCTGGTTTATCTCTCAGCTCAAAAAGGAATTAAAATGGTTTGCAAACACAAGTCTTGCTGAGAGATTGTCAGCACTTGCAAGTTCTCATCTTGATGAAGTATGATTGCCAATTGCACTTTAAAAAAGAAAAGCGCATCAGGAAAACTACCCTTCAAGGATAGAAGAGGCGTTGGTCCAAGATGGCATTAGGATATGATAGTCAATTCACTTTGAAATATATATTTTTTCTTCACAGAAGAAGATACAAATTGTATATCCTCAATAAATGCCAAGGAGAAAAGATTCTCTGCAGGAATTCAGTTTAGCTTGGGTTAAACCCTCTTTCCTCAGAAGTTCCCATGGAAAACTTTTGTCAAAGGCCAAAATTTGTCTCCCTAATCTATCATGGCAAACTTAAAATAAAAATTAAAAGACTGGTCTCAAAAAATCCATTGCAACATTGAACTCCAGCACTAAATTAAAACTCTGGAATTAATGGGATCCATTTGATTTTTCATTGTTTATGTGCCTGGCATTCTTTTAAAGTGTACAGTTACTCAAATCTTGTACATAGAAGGACATTCATAGTTGGATATTTTCTGTACCTTTCTTGCATTGATGTATTTTTGTGAATGAGGAGCGGTGCTTTGAATAAGATGGGAATGGTCATATAATCTGTTCAGAATAAAATGTTTCAGCAATTAGTAATTGCTGAAACATTTTATTGTGAAGAGTGCGTTGACCCTCCATGCAGCACAATCAATATTGATTTCTCCAATTCAATATTTAGGTGTTCCTGTTGACTAAATGTCCTGAAAAGTGCATCTTTCACAAAGTCACGGCTCTCATTTTAGATTCAACATGCCAGTATGAATTTTCTCTTCTGCCAGTGGAATAAAAAGTGCCCATTCAACATTTTGATGAATTAGTTTGCTCCTTTTGTTTGTCACTCTGAACATGAGTGCAAGAGTTTAATCTGTAAATATTTATCACAGAATCTGTAGCATGCTTGTCATTTTAAACCAAATGTTTTATCTGATGAATTTTGTCACTGCAGTCACCTAATGCAATTATATAATAGCAAATACTTTTATATTGCTGAATGTGCAGAATGTGCATATTTGATTAGATTTTGACATCTGTTCAAATTTCAAATTGAAGAGACCAAGAAAATTGTACATCAACTTGGAAACTACAGAGTCAACAGGTGTCATGAAGGAAATCAGTAATCTGAGAGGGATCATTAGCCTTACCTTAGGTCAGGAACAGGCCCTTGCCATTTCCCATCCAATCTGCAGAACCAACTGGCTGTTCCTTGCCATTCATTAGGGCATTCCTTTAGTTTCCAAGTGCCTCCAGGGGTTCTTGGAAAGAAATACCCTGACTCCAACTGGGGCAGTGAGGCTTTAGGGCAGTCCTTTTTAGTAGGAACTGTGGTGACTTTCAAATAACAGAAACCATTTTTGTGAATGCACACCATGAAATAGCAATACTATACATTCAACCCTTGCTTAACGTTTTTAGTTGGTGCAGCGGGAAAAAACATTAGCTGAAAGAAACATCAAATAAGCAAGGTAGTCTCTCCCTTAAGATATAAGAGAGAAATGTTTAATTGGTGTCAGGCAAAATTTTCTAAAGGTAAAATTCAGAAAAAAGTTAATCAAAAAGTGTATTCCAACAACTGAGATTTATGCACTGCCATTAAATTCAAAAAGTAACCACAGTTCTTCACTCAATTCCAAAATGCAGTGTCAATTACCCAAAATTCAGTGTCTGACACTGCAATTGTTCATAAAATAATTGTAAAACCACACCACCACACAGGAAACACATTTAAAGCTGTGGAAAAAGTCACATTCAAGAAAATGTACAGGAGGGAGGGAGGGAGGCATCCACATTGATCACGCAGTGCTGCAAAACTGCGGAGCGTTGTGCAGATTTCCAAACGTTAAGCAAGGGAATTTTTCTCATAAGACCGCGAATGTTATGCAAAAAAAAATGTTCAGCAAACAGAACATTGAGCAAGGGTTGACTGTACATGTTTTCTACCTGGTCTAGTTGTAGTTGTTGTGGGTCTTCTGGTGGTTGTGGTTCTTTTTGTTGTACTGTTGATGAAATCAGTCACCAGCTCAGTAGTGGCATTCATTTGTAGCACTGATGTTTCCTCAGAATGGCTTTCTGAAGTTTGCAAATTTGTTGTCCAGTCTGGAAAAAGCTTGATTTTTTTTCATTTAGCTTTGCCATCAAAGGCATAATGGCTCCTCAAATAATTGGGAATTGTTCTTAGACCATTTGGTGTATTACTTCAAATCTCATCTGCTATTCTGTGAATATTAAAATCTCAAAGAACTTTGTAAGAAAAATTCTTGGTGGCTAATAATCTACTACATAGCCTTTACTTTAATTGTTTTTTTGTTGAAGATTAACTGTGATATTGTATATACTTTTTCTGCTTTCACAGATGATCACCAGTTTGCTTTAGCCTATTTGATTACAATTGAATCAGGGCACTGTGCAGGTTTCCAATGAGAAGCATCTAAACTGACAAAGAAAAGCAGGAGTTATCTTTGTTTTTTAAACCTTTGTCATCCCAAGGCTGTATTTAGTTGGTACAAATATTGAATTATGGTCATCATTTTCCAATCATCTTAAGAATGGATGATTTGAAATAAAGATGAAGGAAGATATATCAGGAGTAATGCTGCCCAGCAAGTATTTTCTAAATGTATCCATAAGAACAAATGCATTGAGATATTTGATCAATTTCCCACTCATGATAAAAATATATGCTGAAAATCCCTATAATGCCAGCTTGCCATTTCTGGATAGATGCTATTCATTAATGGCACCAATAACGCATGACCGAACAATCTATCAAGTAATTTGATTTGAAAAGTGTTTGTATTTTAAAGCCTGTTATCTGAAGAGTCATACTCACTTATTCAAGAAGCAGTTTATTGGCCAAAACTTACTTGCTGATGAACTACTAGAATTCATTTCAAAATCCTGTGTGGTGATGAGATCTCCTTCAGTGGTGAGAGATTGGGTTTCAGTACTCCAGGAAACCATGGTCCAATTGTTTGTTGTATTTGTTGTAACTATTGTGGATTCCACAGTTGTTTGGAAACCAATGGGTGTTGGCTCAGTTGAAAATGTATTTGATATAGTGGAGGAGTCAAACGTTGTTTCCAAAGGTGTTGTTTCAGCTTGAGAACTTGTAGATGCTGATGGTGCTGAAGGGCTATCTGTCTCCATTGTAGTGAGCTGCACAGTTGTTTCTGAGGGTGTTGTTTCAGATTCAGCACTTGTGGATTGAGAATAAGGTGCTGTGGTAGTATCTGTTTCCATTGTAGTCAATCCCACAGATGTTTCTTCACGTGTTGATTCAGTTTCAGCACTTGTGGATTCAGACAATGTTGCACTAGTATCTGTTCCCATTGTTGTGGATGCTACAGTTGTTTCTGAGGGTGTTGACTCAGTTTCAGCACTTGTGGATCCAGGTAATACTGTAGTAGTATCTGTTTCCATTGTAGTGGATTCCACAGTTGTTTCTGACGGTGTTGATTCAGTTTCAGCACTTGTAGATCCATGTAATACTGTAGTAGTATCTGTTTCCATTGTAGTGGATTCCACAGTTGTTTCTGAGGGTGTTGATTCAGTTTCAGCACTTGTGGATTCAGACCATGTTGCACTAGTATCTGTTACCATTGTAGTGGATTCCACAGTTGTTTCTGATGGTGTTGATTCAGTTTCAGCACTTGTGGATTCAGACAATGTTGCACTAGTATCTGTTACCATTGTAGTGGATTCCACAGTTGTTTCTGATGGTGTTGATTCAGTTTCAGCACTTGTGGATCCATGTAATACTGTAGTAGTATCTGTTTCCATTGTAGTGGATTCCACAGTTGTTTCTGAGGGTGTTGATTCAGTTTCAGGACTTGTGGATCCAGGTAATACTGTAGTAGTATCTGTTTCCATTGTAGTGGATTCCACAGTTGTTTCTGAGGGTGTGGATTCAGTTTCAGCACTTGTGGATCCAGAAGATGATGTGGTAGTATCTGTCTCCATTGTACTGAGTTGCACAGTTGTTTCTGAGGGTGTTGATTCAGTTTCAGCACTTGTGGATTCAGGTAATACCTTGGTAGTATCTGTTTCCACTGTAGTGGATTCCACAGTGGTTTCTGAGGGTGTTGTTTCAGTCTTGTCTGATTCAGAGCTTATGGTCAAAATTCTTCTTTTGGTGGTGTTTTTTGAAATTCTTCTGAGTACTGGAACATTTTCAATTCCCCAAATGTATTCATCCTCAAAAGTGGGCTGGGGCTGAATCTCTGCTGTAAATGGTAAAATGCTAATTAGGTATACATGCATACTTTCAAGGACATGGAAAAATTGAGGAAGATATTTTTAGACAACTGGACAAATGGAGACAGAAAATTTTAGACAGAGACAATTACAAACATGGTCAATACTGTGAGACAGGGTCAATACTGTGAGACAGGGTCAATACTGTGAGACAGGGTCAATACTGTGAGACAGGGTCAATACTGTGAGACAGGGTCAATACTGTGAGACAGGGTCAATACTGTGAGACAGGGTCAATATTGTGAGACAGGGTCAATACTGTGAGACAGGGTCAATACTGTGAGACAGGGTCAATACTGTGAGACAGGGTCAGTACTGTGAGACAGGGTCAATACTGTGAGACAGGGTCAATACTGTGCAACAGGGTCAATATTCTGAGACAGGGTCAATACTGTGAGACAGGGTCAATACTGTGAGACAGGGTCAATACTGTGCAACAGGGTCAATACTGTGAGACAGGGTCAATACTGTGAGACAGGGTCAATACTGTGAGACAGGGTCAATACTGTGAGACACCGTCAATGTGAGACAGTGACAACTTGAGACAGTGACAATTTCAGACAGGGACAACTCAAGACAAGGACAATTTGAAACAGGGAAAATTTGGGGCAAGTCAAATTGAGACAGCCTGAAACTAACTGCAGATTCCTGTTGAAGAGCTATGCATTCAACTAAACTGAAATACATAATATTACAAAACTCACAAGGTGCTGCTTCTTGTCATTCTTCCTGTTAAATGCTTTTTCTAAGCTTGAATTTTTGGCATGCAGTGTCCATACCTTGAGTCAGTGTCCACATATTTGGCCTTTCTTTCTCCTTCTTTCTAGACAATTATAGGTACCCCTATATGTAAAATTGTCTTATGTGAGACAAACTTAGCAGACATTTTCACCAAACAATGCATATTTTGTTCATTTTCACACCTTAAACATAAGATATTTCAGAGAAACAAAGTCAAGTCATTTTGCCTCAAGTAGTCTCTGTCTCAAACTGTCTCAAATCATCAAAATGTACATGTCTGAATTTGTCCCTGTCTCAATAAGTTTCAGTCTCAATTTGTCCCTGTCTCAAAAAGTTTCTGTTTTTTAAATTTGGCCCTGTCTAAAATTGGCCTCGTCTCAAAGTGGCCCTGTCTCAAATTATCCATACTTGACTATTCTGGCTTCAGTGATTCTGCCTTCAGTCCAAATTCTTGCATATACAGTAAATTTCTTACTGGCCAAGATGGGATCTGTCATGTTTGTTTCTGGTTAGAATGCTGACAGTTTCTCTTCAACAACATAGATGACTATATCTTCATAAATCACTTCATGATGAGGAGCAAATCCAAAATGAAGTAAGAAGTGTGCACTACCAAAATTCATGGTGCAGGAACGTATTTGATTATTTCTTATTGCAAGTACAGTTGAAACTCTGTCTGAATATTTTCTCTTTTATTTTTAGAAGGTCCACTCAGAATGTTTATCAAGTGTTTTTGTATTTAATCTATATCACTCAACATTTTCAATATTCTGTACAGCAAAATTTTGGCATGCTTGAATTTCTAGATTTGTTTAAAAATACAGTATTTGTATCCTCCAATTAAATACTGAGTTTGCAGAAAATGGGCAAGTGGTTTTCCAAAATATATTGACTCACTGTCAGTCTTGTGGCTGAAAGTTTGACACAACAACAAGCTCAAAAGGAAAGCACAAAAGCACCTCCTGGCATTCATCATTGTCCAAAAACTTTGGCCATGAACTTCTCACCAACTAAGAACCAATAAACGTATTCCTTGAATGTAAGAATCACTATAAGAAATGCAACATTCGGAATTTTGAACCTGATAACACCCTGGAATTTCCAAGGAATTCTTATAGGGAAAGGCGATGAACATTGTGCATTAATCTGACTGATAAATTTTGATATCTTGACTGGATTTCCATCTCTTATCACTGCTTCAATGCTTATACTGCATATAGGATGCTGAGAAATGTATTTTTATCATCTTTATCAATTGTTCTGTCATTGGGCTCGGAATTTGTTGCAAATAAATACCTACATATGTTTTTAAGGAATTGTGGATGAGAGTGATGAGTGAGGCTTTGTCATTTTGTAAACTTGACTTGGGAAAATTATGAAAAAGAATATTCCTATGGATTTGAAATTAAGAAATAAGTTTAACTAAATGAAATTTACAAAGTATAGAATGTCAAGGGCTAAATAGGTAAACATAGGAAGGCTTGTGGGTTTTTGGTGATTCTAATTTTATTTCTTTTGGAAAAATGCTGTTTTTGCATTGAAAAAACATCTTTCAATGTGTCACTGAATACCATGTTTTAATGTGTTATCTTAACTTGCTTGCTGAAAATATTCTTGTTGGTCGCATCAAATAAATAAATCTAATGCTTGATTACAAAATATGAATACACAATACATTTCTTTGGTATAGTTAGATCACACTCGTATATTCAATACACACACACAAGCAGAGTCAAGACAATGGTTTTAGAATTAAAGAAGTCTTGCTAAAATATCGCAAGTCTTATTGAGAATAATTGCAAGAGTCAGGTCCGATTCTCAGGTAAGATTCTTTTGATGAGTTTCAGGTAGAACACAAATATATATAGTTTTGAGGGTATCAAGATCATGACATGTTTCCACTATTTGGGGATGCTCATCCAGATCTTGGGGCCAGGATACATGTCTCAGAAACTAGCACAGAATATATTCTAGAATAGAGAGCCAAATCCAAGGAACAGCGATTACCGTTTGTAACTGTCAACAGGAAGGAGCAGCAATTTGTGCTGTTGTAGTGAAATGGGTCATGCACATTATTGTCAGGTAGTGAGGAAAATTGTCCAACCGAAACAAGGAGAAACTGCAGGCATGGGAAAGTCTTGTTCCCATGATCTTATAATTTTTGAAAAGAAATTAGATACAAGAGGAAACTCAAAACAAAGTGTCAAGTATTTTGTCAGACAACAAATGTCATGGCTGGAAACCTGTGTGTCAGCACATGAGGATCAGTGGAACAAATTTAGCAACATTAAGGAAAAGCTGTTCTAAGTTGGAGCCCACCTGGTTAGCCACTATCTGTTCTTATCCACAAGACATAATATCAGAGATGGGCACAAAGGAAGGCTATAGAAGCAGAAATTAGATATTGAAAAACTGGCCAAGTCATGCAAGGACGGTTGAAGGCAAATAACTTGAGATAAAGATAGGAAGCATAAAAGTCATTTGCTTCAGTTTTGGAAGTCAAAAAGTTGTTTTTTTCTGAATCTATGGGCGTCACACCCATACTGGGATATGGGTGACTGTTACAGGTGTCACCCACACCAAATGCCCCCAAGTGGGTATCTTGATATGGGTGACTGGTCACCCATGTGATACAGGTTTAATATGGGTGAAAATGTGGGTGAATTCCCTCCTTCATATAATGATGATGATCTTCTGTCTCCCCTCATCATCAGCATGTACATATATGCATACACTTCATCTCAGATCTTATTTGCCAGTTTCCCACACCCAACTGTTGAGGAAAACACGCCGCCCACCGCAAAGAACCAATAAACAAACAAAAGCTGGCGAAAATGACAGTTGTTGTGACGCCTTTCTGTTGAACAGTCCACGCTTTTTATGTCCCCATGCCTGCTGAATGCATGCCTTATATGCAGCAGTTGGCAACATGGGTCGACTGCTCTGTGTTGCTCTGTGTCTGCTGACCAGCATGTTGCTCTGTGATGGGCGTGGGCGTGGCAGACCCCCACCACCGTGTCCAGGCAAATTCATTTTCACCACAACCACGTCCACTGAGTCGCCCTTGTTGCCGGTGTTGAAGCAGAACCCCCACTTGCTGGTCATGAATGATCAGGAGAGTAAGAATTTGCTGTCCAAACTGGGCACCTTGCAAATGCATGTGGAAGCGTTGAGGAGGCAGAGGCAAATGAATTTGCAAAGAGTGAGTTTTTGTCTCTTGTAATCTTGCTCTTTGACTTTCATGATTAAAAAAAAGAAATGTCCCAATTGGACAGGACCTCTGATATTTTCAGAGTAAGTGTTATCATAATGAAAAAGAAGCACTCTCATGACATAGTCAATGATGTTCTAAGATTCCAGGACTTTTTTTTTTGTATTTATAATTGAAAACTTTTAAGTTATTATAGCAGTGATGTTGATTTTGCCACAGCTTAGTTAGAAAAATCACAATCACATCACCCAGTAATTGAAATTGTGGTTGAGCAATTAAATTTCCTATTGGCTAATATTTTCAGAGTAAGTGTGATCATAATGAAAAAGAAGCACTCATTCATGAGATAGCCAATGATGTTCTAAGATTCCAGGATTTTTTTTTGGTATTTTCAATTGAAAACTTTCCAGTTATTACAGCAGGGATGTTAATTTTGCCACAGCTTATTTAGAAAAATCACAATCACATCACCCAATAATTGAAATTGTGGTTGAGCAATTAAATTTCCTATAGGCATTGCATAGTGGTTGCAATTGAGCATTAATTTTTCAAGGGTTGAGATTGTGCATGGCATTGGGGTAAACCCCCAAGGTCACAATCCCAAGCAATGCTCAACTACAGTATTTAGTTAAGCATTGTATACATTTATCTTGGACAAAATTATTCATATTAGGATAAAAAAAAGCAAAAAGTATGATTGACTTTATTCCTTTGCTGTACATAAGTTAGTAAAGATGTAAGAAGCCATATTGCTTTTTTTGTAGCTTCAACAACAGGCTGTTTGGCCCAAAAGAATACTTTTGGTGATTTTTCAAAGGCCAATTGTACATGAATGAAACTTTTGGGCATTTATATTGAATAACATCAAAGGAAGTCCATTTACCTGTAACTTATTCATTCCTTTGCCCAAGAATATTTTTTGTCATTTGAGAATTGGAAGCAAATGATAAAATATATCTCCCATATGATGCAAAAGCATTGCTTGCATCAGGTATTTTTGGTACTTGACCAATTCAAAGAAATGACTTATTTATAGAGTTAACTCTTGATAAAGATATAATTTTCAATGTGAATGTAGCAGCAGATTTTGAACTGGTTGAACAAAATTTGACTGTCATTGTGATTGCAGTACATTGGGCAAAACTATGCAAAAATCATTGAAATTTCGATTGGGTAGTCACAAAATCTTGAAGATTCACAATAGTGACAGTGATTTGGCAACCATTTTCTGGACTTAGTTCTGTTTTTGTGATTGGACCATTTAATTTGTGATGGCAATTAACAACACTGAGTTTCCCAATCATGTCACAGGGTGCTACAAATGTGTCAGGCCAGCAACAACAAAAAAGTGCACTTTTAACCATTATCTTGAACTTCAAAAAGACAATGAAGATTGCAAGGAAATTTATTTTCAGCTGGCTTGACAATGTTTTTTTTTCTGTTGAGGCATTCAAAAAGTTTGCTTACAATATTGCGGATACTTTGTATAAAAGAATACTTTTGGGCAACAGAATTGCAAAAGTAGTTTCAAAATCTTCAGACTCACTCATATGTGCATTGGCAGTCAAAAATAATGTCATTGTATATACTCTATAAAACATTTCACAAATTTCGTTTTTTTAATGTCATTGCACTACCTTGAAAAATGATCCTTTATCATTAAGAAAACGCATATTCATGCATGACCTCCACTTCAAATAGGTATTCCATCATTTTTTAATCTTCCAAATTGATAAGAAATACATCTATTACCTGGGTTGAAATTGATTCCAATACCTTTCCTCACTGATTGGACAGATTTTGAAATTCATCAGGAGTAAATCCTTGACAAATGAAGATATTTAAAAGGAAGATTTGAACTTAGGAGTATTTGATTTTAGGTATGAATGAATGAAACAACAGAATTTGGTTGGGCTACGACCATGGTGGAATCTCACCCAATTTTAAAATTGTTGTAATTCAAAGTTTCAAACACACAGTCAATACACACAATATTCACAAACATGCAGGAGTGTCTTGTATGAGAGCTCAGAGAAGAGTGAGGATTTTGATGAATTCAGAAACCAGGAAAACTGTCCTCCAAGGACAAATGAAAGAACCAGGATTTGGCAATAAAAAACAGCCTTGGAGGCTTCCATCAGAAAGAGTGTGTGTGAACCAAGGTCTTTCCTGGTTCACACAGAGATGCACCAGGAAGTCTTCCAAAGAATTCAGACTCCCAATTTCATCATTCAGCATAACTCTAGCATTTATTTTTGCAACAAAATTATCAATATCCTGTAGTGGAATGTGGAAATATTTAATTTTTATGTCAATGCATGTCATTTATGTCATTTTATGTCATTTCTCAATCTTGCTTTTTTGCTGCAACAGTGTGTTCAGGATTTCTCACTGAATGAATAATTTTATTTTCATTGAACATTGCTGTTACTTTAAAGCATTTGGCTCAAATGAAAAGCATAAGCATAATCCGCGCATAATCACTTGAAGCTTCAAAGTTGCATGCTTTTGAAAATAATGATCCACCAGAAAATAATGCAGAAATCTTTGGCATTCAACAACAAAATTTTTTCAAAAGTTCAACTGACTGGTTTCAGATAATGCTATAGATTTGATGCTTCTTATCTCCATTAGGTGCATGAAGATTAAGGAAAACATGTGTATCCTTGCATTTCCAAATGGTATCCATTTTTTTTCACTGTGAGGATGATAATTGGGCTGAAAAAGACAGAATGTAGAAGATAGAAATGTTTGATACTTTTCCTTGACTCAAGCCCATTTACTGCATACAGTATATGATATTTCATCAATGATGGGCATTTGATTTATGTTATTAAAACCTACTTGTGATAATAAATTGCCCACTTTTGAGCAATATGTCCTATTGAATTTATCCTTTGTATTACATATTACTGCTGAAGAACAAATTTAAAGCATGACAACACACTCTTCTCTATATTGGCCTAGTTTTTTTTTTTTTTTTTTGCTGCTGACAGCTGCTGTAATTCAAAATAGAGCATGCAGTGAAAATTAGCAAATGTAAAGCTGAAAAATCCCTCATCAATTTCTTTCAAAAGCTGTATCATAATTCATGATACAGCTATTAATAAATGAAGACAACACTGCAAAATTATGTTTCCCCTTCCCCATTTAAAATCAGAAAAAAACCTCAAAAGTTTATGCAGAGAAAGTTACTTTGCACATTTAAAAATTCTCTATGAAAAATATATGAATTCCATCAAATTCTGCATTTGAACTTTTGTATTTATTCGGAAATCAGGGTAAGTATTTACAAAAAAGAAATGAAGTCCCAATTAGTGCTTTTTAGCATGCCCGAATATTAGAGGATCACAGGGAATAAAGAGCTCACAAAATATCAGGATGACATCACTTTAATCCTATTCCACTTCATCATTTGAAAATCAAGGTAGTATTTTTTTAAACACGCAAGTAAATAAGGCTAATTGAAAATATATGTGATTTAAGGGAACTTCTCAAAAGTTCCCTTGAAAACAATTGAAGGTTAATTATTCTTGGTTAATCCCTTCATGAACCTGAAACAAAAAAGACAGATTTCTCTGGACCTGAGAAGTACACCTATTTGTCTCAATTTTTTAAAACCCTAATTTGATTGAAGACAATCATATGTTGTGCAAAAGAGCGCATCTTGAAGTAGAGTAGCTTTGCATTGCAGGGAACATTCACTGACTTGTTCTCAGTACCACAGAAGACTGACAGCACCAACAAACAAGTGCTGCAGTACAGTTCTGATCTCACCTGTTCACCCAGTGTCATAACTGGGGAATCTCTTATTCCACTGCTGTGCTACCCCTGCTGGTCAGAGAGTTTCCCACTACCATCACAGTTATATCCTGAATGCTAAAATAAAGTGTCAAGAGTCTCAAGACAGATTTAAAATTTAAAATTTTGTGTAGAATATTTGTCTCTCATATCTGAAGATAATTTAAAAATTTCTGATCAATTTTCTTGTAAAAAATAAAAATAAAAACTTCTTGGGGAGTGGCAATTGATGACAAGGTGTAATTTACAACACTCTCCCATTTTTCCTATACAATCCCTAAACAGTTATTGCTTTGAAATGCTTGCATGGATGATCAGTTTACTTGTAATAAATACATAAATTTTAAAATCATCTCATTGTTTTTCTCACAATCCCTCTTGTTGCAAAATTTTCTGAGTTGCTTCAGCAGAACCAAGCGTATTGAATTAAATCACCAGCCCCAACCTGACGGAAAGCAATTTTTCATGTCACTGATTTTTGAAACAACCTAATCCTCAAAGAGAAGTAGAGAATACACCAAACAGCATCTTTATAAACTAAGTAATAAACAGAGACAAGTTTCAGCAATTGCTGAAACTTGTCCTTGGTTATTTCTGTGTGAATCGGGTTTCTCTCCCATTCACACAAGAAACTGAAACAAACCCTTTTTTGGTCCTTGAATCTTTCAAAAACCCTAAAAAACAGTTACCATATCCCAAGCAACAGAAGCTGTAATCTAACCTTAAAATCTTTGTGGAAATTTCCACAAGAAGACCCTTCCTTTTCCTGAGGAAAAGACTCAGCGATTTTTCATCACTATCCTTTGAACCTTGGCATTGTGCAGAACTAGAAGTACTTGGTGAACTTGCTTGAAAACTGATAACAAAGTTTGTGTGTGTGTGAATACAACTTCTTAAAATAGGGTGTTCTTGAGCACCCCAGTTGTAGCCCAACCAAATCTTGTGTACTGATTTACTTTTTCCCTTACTGTACAATTTTTACTTTCAAACCTCTGTGACACATCTTATGGCTGAAGAAAATATTTTCAATTTAAGCAAATACTGTTTTTCAGAAATTCTAAGGATGCGCAGCACTTGGACAACCTCTGTATATACAGTAATATCTTCTCAAAAAAATACCATTGAAACAAAATTTTCAGCGTAACTTTTCCTCAACTTCCAGCAGGAAGCCTGCAGAATATATCTTAAACCAATTTTATTATAACAAGCCTCCCAACTCCAGTACAGCATGGAAAGATCTTTGAGTAATGTTCAATAGATTCTCCTGAGGTA